TGACCTCTGGCTAGAGGTAGGTATATCTAGTCTCTATGAATTCTTTTTTCTTTTTACCTCAAAGATATTGAATATACAATCCCACCCACACTTCTCAGAGAGCTAGGAATGCATACTATACAGGAAAAGCCCCATAAGCTATTAAAGAATCTCTTCCTTGGGATATATGATACCTTCTAAGTTGTTTCACTCATATTAAAAATCACACATACAATATTCATCTTTTATCTGTTAAATTTTGAAGTACATATTTATTTTTGAAGACAACAAAGTTGTTGAAGTAGTACAGGAAAAATTATTTCATTATTTTTAGTATTTCCTCTGAAATTTCCCTTACTACTAAATTTATTTTTCTTAAGTTTCTGAAACAGATAAAGAGCCTCAAAAATTTTTAGTGGCCAAGATTTTAAAATCTGGTGGGCAATTCTAATGGCGAAGCCACCAGGTTTTATTGTTTTCCTACTGATGTGATGTGGGAGTCCTGATAAACGACTCAAAAAACATTAAATAGAATATATACAGTTACGATTTCCTTTCAATCTCCACGTTCATGTGGGGTCCAACAATCAAGGCAACTTTTAATCATTTCACTTAACAGCACTCACTGTTGTTCTTACTAGTTGTGATCACCAAAGTAAGGAGAATCTTAGCTGCATGTGCAGGTCATTTTTCTCTCTCCCTTTCTCTTGTTGCTTTCTATTTCTTTTTTTAAGGTGGTGTCATTAAATTCAGGAAACACTTACCCTTGTCTCCCACCATGGAAGTTATGGAAAGAAGTGTTGAACCTTTCCCCTTCCCTGTAACCCAAACAATGTGGGTTGAGCATTCAGGAAGAAATATTACGTACATAATACTGAAGTCTGAAACAAGACTGTGCTTATTTTCTAGCCCAAGACAAAGTGTGAAAGACCATAATAAAAATATTTTGTATATTGTTCCAACCAGATAGGTGTACATGATAAGCATAGATTAAGATAAAAATTATAGCTGAGCATGGTGGTTAAATCTGTAATACTGGATACTCAGGAGGTGGAGATCAGGAGGATCCCTGTTTGAGGACAGCCCAGGCAAAAAATAGCTAGAACTAAAAAGGGATGAGGGCCTGGATCAAGTGATAAACGACCTACCTACCAAGTATAAGGCCCCAAGTTCAAACCCTAGTATTATCAAAAATTAAAATAAATAATAAAGAAATTACAAAAATGGGATTCCTTACAAAAGGACTGATAGAGTTGAATTCCGTTAGGTCACTTTATCTGAACATAGAACTAAACATGAGAAAAAATAAATAAAATGCACATCTAAATTTTCATATTTTGACTTAAGTGCCTAGTGAGTAAGGACTAATAGTTTCAGAGATAACATTACATGTTGTACATTTATAAATATGTACTTATTCTTTTGTATGCATGCACACACAATGCAAATGCATATACAGAGGTAAGATCCACATATTACATAACAGACCAGAACATTATTGTTCTCTTAAATATACTAATTCTAGAAATTAGAAGAAAGTTGACCATTTCTAGAGCAGAGACAATGGTCATTTATCTTTATAGTAAGATTAGTTGATTTTATACATTCTATTACTTATGAGGTGAGTGACCTTGAAAAAAGATTTCAATCCTTCTGTGATTCAATATATCTATAAAATGAAAATATCAATAGTAATAGAATTATGAGGCTTAAATCAATTAATAGATGGTAAATCTTTAGAACACGAGGCAGCAAACTTTTCCTCTAAATTTCCAGATGCTAAATATTTTAGGCTTTGCCATCTCTGTCATCCCTCCCTCCCTCCCTCCCTTCTTTCTTTCCTTCCTTTTCTTTCTTTTTGTTTATTTCTTGTTTCCAAAAAAATTTTTTAAATGTAGAAAATATTTTTTGCTCACTAGGCTACTCCTTAGAAGGATGCTTTGCATTCACTAAGGGCTATATTTGTGCTATTTATCATTATCATCATTATTATAATTATTGAATCTAAATTTTGAAAGAAGTGACTAGAGGTAATAGGCACAAATGGAGGTAAAAACATAAATTAATGAATTTGAAAATGCATATTTTCCATTACTGGGGTCATGAACTACAGAGTATTGATATGTTCAGTTCTTTCCGGCCTTTTTTACTCATGAATGATTGCTTCAAAATTTTAGAAGTCTCATACAAGTTACCTAGCTGCTATAAAAATATTCAGTTAAAATGTATATTTCCTTACAAGAAGGGCTCTGTAATTTGTTAACTGCTTTTACTTCCAAATATGTCAGCACTAGAGTGCAAATATGTCCAAGTGAAATCTCTCCTAGCTTTATACACAGACTCATTAGCCTGTCCTAGTGATTTTATTGACTACTATTCTGCTTGGCAGTAGATTTTCAAGGTATTGAATCTACCTGTTAGTTCTATTTAATAAAAATAGTCACTAGCTTTATGAAAATGAAATATCTATCATAAAATTTCAGTTGAAAATAATGACTAATTTACTCACATCACAAACAAGTTTAGAAATCTCAAGAAACAATGGTAAGAGCTAAGAATAGACTCCTCTCCAGGCACATAAACATCTTACAAACAACAAAACCAAGTGAAATAGTGTTGGGTTTTTTTTTTTTTTTGAGGTAGGGTCTAAATATGTAGCCCAGACTAGATTCAAACTCTCCATCCTCCTGCTTCAGCCTCCCAACTGTTGAGATGACAAGTGTGCACCACCACACTCAGCTTATGCTTGTTTTGCTGACTACCTCATTTAGCAGCACTTGACCAGCCCTAAGTTTCTGAAGAAAACATAAGCACATTAGAACAATACTAATTAGCAAAGTGATGTGTATAAAATTGGGTCCACATACACAAGCACCTCTTGGTGACACCCACATGCATGTGCATGTGTGTATGCACACACACTTTCTCACACAACTTATTTGCTGTCCAACACATCTGCAAATACTCATTCCTTACGTACATCCACACACACTTTCTGCATACACTCAATCATTCATCTATACTCTCACAGAAATTTATGCACTCACACTCTCCACACACACACAGAGTCTGTAATGCATTCACATTCCTTATACACATAGACCCCTGAATAAAGTCACTCACACTTCCTACACACACACACACACACACACACACACACACACACATACGCACACGCACATATGAAAGCAAATTAAGCCTTCCATCAAACTTTTTCTTCAAAGTTATTGGCATATGAAAAGACCAAAAAAATGTCTTATTGATGTAAAGTGCAATTTCTACTACAGATATATGACATTTATAGGACAAATTCATTGTGGAATGCATACCTAAACACCCTGAGGTTCTTATATATGGCAGTAATTAAGCACTGAATTCAAGTAAGGAAACAGATTTTGTTTTCTTAGCAATAAATGCTTTATATGGAGTGACCGTTATATCATCTGTAGAAGAAATGCAGACTGCTTTAACCACAGTCACATTAGATGTGAAACTTACTCCTAACAGGTGAGTATGTAAAAGTGTAAAATGGTAGTCTCCTAATTTATAGATATATTATCATCTTTGCCACACATTTCAGAAATTAGACACATAGGCTATAGAGTTGACATTTTGCATTATTCTTGCATTTTTTTACTGTATTCCTAATGGAAAAGTGTTCTGTATCATTAATGATATATGCAAAAATATGCAGAATTTTACCCTAAAGGAGATTATGGTAGAAATTTCATGCAAAGAGGCTTAACATAATAGTGAACTAATAAATCAGCTCTGTGCACTCAAAGATTTTAACTTTTGCTCTGTCACCTTCTTTTGGATCCGGGTTTCAAATCACAGTATTATATCTGCAGTTTTTAAATCTTAATTAGCCTGGCAAGCAGACCAGTCCTGAAGCAAGAAAAAAAACTAAAAAATAGGCTAAAGCCTCACACACTGTGTAATCTAGGAAAGGAGGCAGAGGAGAATTACAGGCACTCAGCTTCTTCAGCACTATCACACACCAATTTCCTTCAGTGTTTGCAGAACTAACATGTAGTGCAAAATTTGTTGAAGTTGGGAAGCTGTTGAGTAAAAATGAATTAAGTGACACTGATAAAATACCTTCCAGATAAAAGATGCCATTAAAGCAAATGCAGATAAAGGGAGCTTTCTGAGAAGATACAATGAAATACAAAGATCAGACTTAAGTCTGTAGCAGCTATACCCTCACAGTCATGGCAGGGGCATTTGTGTGTGTGTGTGTGTGTGTGTGTGTGTGTGTGTGTGTATGGGAAACAATGGATAGCTAAATGAATAGGAAGATTGACTGTTCATATTCATTATGTACATATTAGGATTTAAATTTTTCTAATTTAAATCCCTGGAAATATGCATCAGTCCTGGAATCATCATAAGACAGTACCAACTGGAATCTTTCATTTGGTGAACAGGGAAGAGGAGGCTAAAGAAGTAAAATGTCAGAATAATTATATTTCTTGGAAGAGCAATAATTATTGGATTCAGCAAGATGAAGGGCATAAGTGTGTGGTTTATCTCACTATACACTTTTCCACTCTAAAAATAATACCTAGTGCCACCTAAGAGAGGCTTATTCTGTAAACGTGCTTATTTTCATCAGTGAATGATTTTACAGAGTGAAATATCAAGAACCATTTTAAGATTGCATTTACTTTGTATGTTGCTTCTGATATACAAAATATATCATTTCTAAAAGTCAAGGTTTTTTCATGTAATAGACTTGGTTCCCTAGCAGAGTGAACTTTTCATGAAAGCCCCTGGATATAATTGAGTTTTCTTTCATGTCTTTAAAGCTTTTTAAAATTCATGAATTTTCTTATCATTTTTGCAGCAAAGCAAAAGTATTCAAAAATGCTTTTTGAATTTGTGTTTAACATTAACATATTTAAAATGTTACAGAAATAGATGGAGTGAAATAAATCTTACATAAGAAAGTACTTGATTTTTGATGCATTTTAATATTGCAAATAAGTCAGTGATTCCTATTATATTAGTTTCATTACCTGTCACAGAGCTTTCTAGATTGTCCATACTGGATCCGGGTGTCTGGTCTAGTGCTCTCAGGGGTCTGGGTATTTCTAAAGCTTCCTCTTCATCATCAGCATCATCGTCTGGAACATCTGTTTCCAAATCAGAAATCACGGATCCAGACACATAACCTAATGGTGGAACAGGAGGCTGTGGAGGCTGATTATTGCTTTGAATGTGCCTAGAATTTAAATTGAAAAAAAAATTGTGGAGTAATTCATTAGCATTTAACAAAATTGTAATTTGAATTAAATGGTGTGTAAAGGTAACTGATATTGTCTTTTCCATATTTTTTTTTTTGGAGTTTGTAGTGCGTTCTTATACTTTAGCAGAGACAGTGGGCTATGGATGTATGACTTACCAAATAAAAACAACAGAGAGTAAAAAATGTGCTTCTTTTGAAATTTATAGAGTGATACACAGATAAAAAATACATATCCAATATTTTTGAATAAATAAGTCACGAAAAAGAAAATAGGAGTGTTTGCCACAAATAACTTTAAAGTTGACTTTCCTCTGTAAAAAAAGTTAGTGTTGTAGTTCAGCTCAACCCATAAAGCCTGCTGTTCCATATGAAGAAAAAATGTCATTTGAGGGCCTAATTCCCTCTCGCCCTTCCTTCGGCACATTTCCTGTCCTAGGAAGATTTCTTTTCACATGATTCACTTTTCATCAGGCTGAGTAGTTGTTTCCACTTACCCAGCTCAGGATAGGCACAACTACTTTGTGTTAAGACCTTACTTTAGGACCTGCCAAGTCTTAAAGAGAAAAATGATTCATCTCAGCAATTTTTGTGTTTACAACATAAGGAATGTTAAAGGAAAAACCCTTTCTAATTCGGGAATAATTCTAATCTTAACCTTAAGAAGAAAATAGAACATGCATTATCAGCTCTCCTTCAGAAGGTAAGTTAGCGACACTTAAGCTTAAAGTGACTTATTTCAAACCACATAGCTAACAAAATGTGGCACTGTACCCTGAGATTCAGTTGATTTTTTTTGAGATTGCTTAGAGTTTCTTCTAACCAATAAAATGCTAAATAAAAGTAATTCATTGCTACTTGTCACTGTTATTAAAGTGAATGCATTACATGTCTTTTCACTGCCTTCATACAAAGTATTTTAAAGATCCCTATCACTTAAGAGAGATTAAAAAGTAAGTGCTGTTCATTTTACCATTGGTTTTTAAATGAAAGATCAAAACTATTTCTCTTCTTCTTTACATTACTTGGGAAAATATTTCATTCTACTAGAATTTGCATAATATACTTCACTTAATTGCATTTTTAAAAATTTATTTTTATTATTGTTGTACTGGGGGTACAATACTGTATTTACAAAAGGTCTTACAACATACCATAGTTGAATTCACCCCTTCCATCATTCTCCTTTATCCACTCTTCCCCCATTCCTAGAGTATTTTTAAAAGGTCTCATTTTTTTCATTTAGCATTTATAAATATCTTCTAGTGACAAACACTATGCTGAATATTTCATGAACAGAATTCCTGAAGGTGTCTTTTATCTTGTTTTCTTTTTTGAAGTACTGGGGTTTGAACTCAGTCAGCTTCATGCTTGCTAAGCAGGCACTCTACCACTTGATTCTCCAGTTCTGTTAGCTCTGGTTATTTTTGAGATCTCTGCCTCCCAAGTAGCTAGGATTGTAAGTGTGACACACTGGCACTTGACATATGGAATTTTGGGGTTTTTTGTTTTTGTTTTAGTTGTCCTCCTGTGATGACCATGTGCAAACCTAATGAGGAGGTACTTCCAAACCAGAAGAGCAAGGTCTTGTGTGGGAACATGGTGAGTCACATGTTCCACATGTGGAGTTAGCTAAGGCATTCTGGTAGACTGCTGGTTTGATTAGAAACATACTCAAAAAAAGAAACAGGGTCTGATGTGTCAGCTCTCAGAGCTGGTGAGAATGAATGTCTATTGAGCACTTACTCTTCTAAGTGTGGAAAGACACTAGCAAACAACTCAGGTGAAAAGAAGAGCCCTTTTGGAGAGTAATAGCTACTATAAAACCAGGTACTTTATTAAGTATTGTACAAGTGCAAACTCATTTATATCTCAAAATCTGTATCATATAATGAAGAATTTAACCTTATTCCATAGAAGTAAGGCCTTTTCCCTCTACAAGTGGGATGCCCTTAGGGTGTGCTGTCATATAAAGTGTTTCTGCTTATCTTAGGCTATTCCAAAATGTCTAACAACACAATTTATGGTAGTATGTCCAGTCACACAGTATTAATGTGATCCCTGGATGAGCTGGAGACTGAAGTCAGCTGTGTCGGTAATCAATGATCTATGTGACATAACCCAAATAAATTCTCTGGACTTCAAAGCTCATATTCACTTCCATGGTTGGCAATACCCCCTGTATATGGTCTTTACTAGAAAAATATTGAGCCTGACTCCACTGAAGCAAGACAAATGAGAGCTATGCTTCTAGAATTTTCCTGGGCCCAGTATCTCATCTTTTGACTGATTTTAATCAATATATTTTTACTGGAATAAAGTGTAACTTTGAATATAAGACCTTTCAGTGAGTTCTATGAATTCTTCAAGCAAATTCTTGAATCTGGGTGGTCTTCAGAATCACTGAAACTTGCATTTGATATAAAAAATGAGGGTAGTTTGGGGGTTTACTCTGTAATTTCATACTGATCTAATTACTGCTATTGCCATCATTTTACACATAGGGAAAGTGCACATTCTATATGGCTAAGCAAGCTGCCCAAGATCATAAAATAATAGGACAGATTTACTTCAGTGGTAGTGACCCTAACTTTGGCTGCTCTCAATCAAATCCCAGATCAATTAATCAGAATCGATCTGGGGTGGGTTTTAAGTAAAACTATATTTTAAAGTTATCCAGGTGATTCTAAAAGTCAGGTAAATTTAAGAACCCTTGAATCAGAGCATGTACTTTAAATGACTAAGCTGTGAGATGTCAAAACTAATAAAAGAAATCCTACAGCTCTCCAAGCAGCTGTTTTCAACTTAAATAGTGATATTTTATTTAAAAAAAAATAGGTTGAGTAAAGTAATACTGTTTAACAGTAGGTCACCTCTGACCATTGAGAGAATATTTGATGATTATGAAGAAAAGAGCATGTTTTTAAGTTTTAAGTTATAGGCCATGTTTTAGTGTCTCTTTGTAGATGTAGTTAGCTGTATAGCTCATTAATATTGTGAGGAATTATCTCATTATCGATTTATCCCAGTAGCAAAAACTATCAAAAAAAAGGAAAAAATAAAAAGTCAGTCTGACTTCAAGCCAAGGGTGTAAATCGACAGAAGATAACTGGTGGTAGAGATTTCATTTACAAAAGTCTAGGCTCATGCCATCTCCAAGACAATAATAAATATATAAAAGTAGATTGCTCTCTATAGCTTATAAAAATTGAGGGGTTGATTAGAAAAGGAATCTGGGAATTTTAAATTTATTCTTGGATTTCTAATGGGTGCATTTATGGTTGTTTTTACTGATTCATTAAATTCAGCCTAAAGAGGGTCTTTAAATAGCTGACACTGACCAAAAGTGATTTGCAAAAGCTTACATTTACATATTCACAACTACATACAGAATTAATCACAGGCACTTTGGAGAATCTAAAAGGAGTCCTTTATTATGGCATTAAAAGTGAGTTCAAGGATAAGCTAATTGAAGCTAAACTGTAAATTAGAAACAATTCTGGTGTAGCCCAAAGCACTTCAGCCTGAATTCAGCTGATTTGAATTTTTGCTCCCTTTCACTCTCTAATAGGTATATGACTTTGGTCAGATTATTTAACATTTCTGCAATCAGTTTCTTTATATAAATGATTGATGAGTATACAGAACATTTTTAATCCCATCTGCATAATTTTGTGAGACTCTCAGTAAATTATGTGAAAGAAAAATTTCCATCTGTTGAAAACATGGGTCTCTTGACTTAGTAAGAATACTTACCATGTTTGTTTTGCTATATCAAACTGATAGGCTCTCGTCAGCTCGTCCAGGTGAGCTTGCAGCATAGGTTGCATCTCTTCCCGCGGGGATGGAGTAAGAGTGGCAGTGGACTGCTGTCCAAAGGAGATAGCAGGAGAAGAAGCCACACCTCGAACAGGAGGTGTTGGGACCCGGTCATCATCTTCTTCCAGTTCATCTTCCATACCCTGGTGTAAGTATGTCTGTATGGTAATGGTGGGCACCAGCTATCACTATCGTAGCTGAAATTAAGTGAGAAAAAATGCACACTGACACACATGTATATAAACACACAATTATTCTGCCAATAAATAGCAAACACATGATGTTTAAAATGTTCTCTGAGTTTATTTCCTCCTGATCATGTTTTGGGTGCTACCATAGTAAATCACCTGGCTATTGTCTTAATTTCTATTTGTAATTACATCTGTCATCTCAATATCTCAATTTATTCTTCAAAGACCTTATTAGCTAATTTTTACCACACTGTTACAAAATGCATTAATTTCCCAACAAAGTTACTCATGTGGAAACACCAAATTGCTAATTAAAGACAATTAGTGAATTTAGTGCTAGTAGATTTAACTTCCTTCAATTGCTCATCCTTGTGCATCAATAGAATATGCCAATAGAGCCAAGTGATCTGCTAAGTAATGAAGAATTTTATTTGTTCCTTCTAAAACTATGCCAATCTTTCATCTTATATGACATACCAGTCATTAAGATTTTGTGATAAGAAATATATTCTGTATCACCTGGATTTTTTTAAGTTTCTCAGAAACTCAAGTCTTCCCTTATCTCAACATCTAAATTCAAGTGTTATTTGGTAAATAGTCTCTCTACCTACTCTCTAGTCCTAGTATTTTCAGAAATCACATAAGTCCTAACATATTTTCAAAAAGAGACTTAAAATTAAGATAAATAATGTTATTTGATATAATCATCGCTGAAAGTTATCCTGACTCTTTCTCCAACACTTTATCTCCATTTTCATAATCATGGATCAGTTGCCTTCCAAGGTATACAAGCTCACTTCTTCTTTTCTATTCTATATTCAATACAGGCAATAGGATTGTTTTCTAACAGCACATCACACTCTATTTAAAATAATTCAGTGATAATTTTAAACTTATTTCTGGGCTTAAAATATCCTTCCCAACTAATCAGCTGGTTTTTGTAGCTTTATTTTCCCCAAACCAGTCTACTCTTTCTTTCTAAACTCTGGATCCGTACAGAGTTCACTTTTGATATGATCACTTTCGTGAAGCTTCCTTAGTTTTCTCCTTATGGAATTGATTCTGACTCCATAATACTTATTTGAGGTACTCCCCATATCATACTGTAATTAGTTTTTTTGTGTCTCCTTTCTTCCGCGATTCCTTCAACCCAAGAACTTTATATTTCTCAGTTTGATATTTCTAGCACTTAGTACAGAATCTGGTATATGAGAGAAATTAAAGAAAATGAAAATAGCATGAATATTACATGCATACTCTTGATCTCTTTTAAAAACTGTAACGTGTAAATGTTAGATGATTCTTGGATATTTTTGTTTGAATGTTTTTTGCTTATCCTACGCAAAACTAAATTTGTCACATAAAAACCTTCATGTGGATATTTATAGCAGCTTTATTCTTAACTGCCAAATATTGAAAGTAACCAGGATGTGCTCAAGAAAGTAGATGAATAAATAAATTATGGCACATTCAGACAATGGGGTATTACTCATTGCTTAAGAGAAACAAGTTGGAGGAGGGGGGTAGAAATGACCCAGACATTGTATGCTCATATGAATAAAAGAAATTTAAAAAGAAAGAGAAACAAGTTATCAAACCATAAAATGACATGTAAGAAACTTAAATATATCTTATTAAGCGAAAGAACTCAATTGGAAAAGGAGATATAGTGCATAATTCTAATTATATGGTATTGTGGAAAAGGCAAAATCATGGAAACAATGAAACAATCAAGTAGTTTCCAGGGGCTGGGGACTGAAGGAAGAATAATAAGAGAATGGAGGAATTTTCAAGAAGGAAATAATTCTATATGATTCAAAAATGGTAGATACTTGTCATCATAAATTTGTCCAAATCATTGAATGTACATGAAGAGTGAGGCATATTGTAAACTATGGGTCCTGGATGATACTTATCTGTCAATGTGGGTTCATCAACTATAACAAATGCATCACGTGGATGTGAGATGTTGGTAGTGAGGAAGGCTATGTATGCCTGAACACTGTAGTTTTTGTTTAATTTTCCTGTAAACCTAAAACTTATCTAAACAATAGAAAAAGTAAAGCCCTGTATTTGATTATCCTTTTGACAATCTTATGTCAGGTCTGTGAATCCATTTCACATAATATACAGTATAGCAAGGTAGCTGGATAGTAAGTAAACAATCAATAAATTGAAAAGATATATTTCTCTAAAACATTGACATTTTATCTCTTTCCTATGTTAGAGATCACAGTTAGATTTCATCTGAAGAAAAGATTCTCTTGTCTAAAATGTCTATAACCTACTATTCTGATTGCTGCTATGAGGTTTTGCCCATCCTCTAATCAATCTTGCCCACCATTCACAAATTTGTCTATGAAAACATCATCAGAGTGGACTAAAAAACACATTTACTTCTCTTCACTCTATTATATCCATTACATATATTTAAGCTTCAACCCCCCTTGGCAGACAGTTTTTAGTTTCTTAACAAGAATCTTTTATTCAAACTAAATTGCCTTGTTTCCTTCTTTCTATGTTCTTTTCTATCCCAGTACATTTATTTTTTTCAACTCATTTCAAATAAATAGCACTCCTCCAACTTTGCCCATCTTAATCTTACAAATCCTTCAAGTTACAGGCTAAATCCTCTATCTTTTATAAAGATTTCCATTGCAAGGTCAACCAATACTCATATACTACTTTTCCGAACTTGAACTGACAACATTTTTGCACATTTATATAAAAATGGATTATACATTTCCAATGTTGATTCATGTAACCATTTATTTTAATTTTTAGCCTTTCACTTGTTTATAGTATTTTCCCTTAAATGGATTTAAGATACCTTACAATTATGACATTGAACTATTTCTGTTTTTCTGTACCTAATACATTAAAAATAGTAGGGTGTAACTATACTTACTGATTTGAAATGAAAACACACAAATAGCTTCATTAATAAGAAGATTTATGTTTCTTGGCTTAACTTATTTATTTGACTTTGAAGACCAAATTATTAAGTCAAACAAAAATATGTATTTGAAACCTAAGCATTAAAAAAAACTACCCATTTTCAGTAAGGAATACTCATGTTATTATACTTCATCAGTAGTTAAAAAATTAGATTTACTCTATAAACTTATTACAAAACACAGTACATGTTTTTGTGCCAGAAAGTAAAAGTCAAACTGTACTGTCAGGGTACTAAACTTTTAAATAAAGGGTGAACTATTTATTCAATTTTTGAAATATCTCCAAAAGTTTCCCTACTATATAAATAGTAAGGTATTCTTATTCCTTTTGGGTTTTTTGGTGGTACTGAGTTTGAAGTCAGGTTTTCACACTTGCTAGGTAGGTATTCTAATGCTTGAGCCATCCCTCCAGCCCAATTATACTTATTTCTAATAATCTAATAGGAAAATATACATAAAATTAAACCCAGATAACATAACAGAAAGGAGAAGTATGTGTTATATGTATCATGTGTTAACATGAAAATGTAAAATAACTCATACTCGACTTGCTTTTTATTATACAAGTAATATCAGGGAGAGTAGAGTAACAAATATTATGTTTTGATATTATGCAAATAAATTGCATAGTTTATTAGCTGACTAAAACATCTTTCATTACTTATTCCATTAAGCTCCGATGGATGTGATCATCAATTGTCCTATGTCTTTTCTGCAATGATAATCCAAAACACCAGTGAACAATCTCTGTAGCTCTACAGAACAAGCAAAGCTGAGAAAAGCCCGGGGATTTAAAGTGGGTTTATACCAAAAGTAGAAAAATGGAAAGGGAGAAAAAATACCAAAATCCTGGGAGAACAATATGAAAGAATAGGTGAAGTGAGGTTGGGACATGAGGAAGAATTGCTCATCATTTTTGTAGTATTCATATCTTTCTGCATTCCAGTGGAAGGACCTGAAGGTAACAGATGAATCTATGAACTCCATGAAAAGTATAGCTCTCTTATTACAGTTTCCTGCACATTTTACAGATATACATCTTATTTGAGTGATAGTATTTTAACTTTTTCTTGTAGTAACATAAAAAAAGACTGTAAGAATGCTTCCTAACAGCAAACTGAAGTTCTTTTGGCTAGTCTATCTTAGAGAAGCACTTGTTTTTTGAAATTCTGTCAGTAAAACATGGGGTATCATATTATCTGTCTTTCCTGATGAATAATGATAAAGATGACAGTAAATCAATGTCACATGTGAACTAACTTGTTAAAGGTCAGATTCAAATGCCAAATTACTAATAAAAATACAATAAAGTTCAACACCAGCAAAAGCTTGCCAATCTCTAATTGTAATAACAAAGTGAAGCACCAGTTACCTATTTAATTGCTATTGAATCCTTCCTAGCATCATATGACTTATAAAATGTTTTATATTCATAGTTAGGAACCAAATTGAAGATACAGTTTGATGAGAGAAAACATTTACCATCATGGCTATATTAGTTAATTAGCAATCAAACACTTTTTATTTGGATAAAGATTTGGTAACTTTTGATATTTAGTATTGTAGAGAAAAAATGGCTCAGAAAAGGCTTAGAAAGAAAATTGATATATAAACCAGAAGCAATAGCAAAAATTATAACAAAAACTAGAGACTTAATTTCCAAGATTATAGTTAGTCTCTGCTAGGCATATTTCCAGATTCTATCCCTTGTCTCTTTTCCACTATCATTGTTTTTTTTTTTTTGTCACTTATCATTTTCACAATGCCAGCCATTCTGCTCTGATATTCCATACATTATTCACTTCCCTCCAACCTCATTTCCTCCAATCCGTCATGTACAGTCAAATATTAGAATCCTTCTATGGTATACAAGGATTCACAATCAACCTCAAGACACCTTCTCAGATTATCTCCTACACTACACAGGTTTTAAAACGCAGCAAACCCTTTTGCAGCAAACTGTTTGCCGAAGGATACAGATAAACAGTTAATATGCAAGGTTGTGAGTTGTACAATTGTGGGCTAAGCTTAAGGAATAATGAAAAATAA